CAACTCCATGCAGTCGAGGATAAATGTTGCCTGCTCGGGTCGAGTATACCCGGAGCATCTGAAGCACTTGATCTGCTGTTGAACAACGACCGGCGTGTAATCACGGTTCGGAACACTGCAGAACTTCCTTTTGCAGATGCGGCAGCTGAGGAAGTCGAGCTGCATTCTGGAAATACGGCGGTTGTACCTTTAAAGCAAGACCGACACATGGCAAATAAACAGAAAACCGCCTAATCCCAGTCGTAACGAAAATTTATAAAAATGTTATCAATAGTTGTAAATGGCCAGTAGCCATTCGGGCCGTTGTCAAATAGGTAGCTGAATATTAACAGCAACAAAACTTGGCTACAAAAACTAACTAACTAACTTGGCTACGGTCAACCCGTTACAAAAGCCTAGGGCTCTTTTTTTAGCGGCTCTGAACGTTTTTTTAGCGGCACTATTTTCAAAACGATTCAAAAAGTAGGAAAACCCTACCTGCGGGCCAAGAAAAAAACCAGAGAAAAAAGCACTTTAAAAATGTCCGGGTATTTCTGGGACACCCTGTAAACTAACGGTTCAAATGGCGGCGCAAAATAATGTAATACAAAATAGTTACAGTAAAAAATTCCGGATGGCTGTCCGGCTGTTAGGGGGGGGGTCACGTAAACTCTCAACCAAAACTTATAATATAGCCCGGCTTGCTAGGTAACTATAGGTAACTCGAAATATATCGACCAGATAAGGTAATACAGGATATTGGACTATGATAGAATGGCAGCGCACCGAATGATAATGCAAGAACCAATGTGATCCATCTGTTTCACATCTGGATTTTCTTATCTTTCCGCACTAAAGGAGTTGTATGAATAATAATTTCTGACAGGACTGCAGCAACGTTGCGAGAATAGATTCCCCAACACACTATTGAGAGCGTGGGAGAACTAGAACCTTTCTGCTTTCTATGGGTGTAGCGCGGCAATTAGTAAAGTTCGAGGTGGGGAGGTGGGGAGGTGGGAGGTGGGGAGGTGGGAAGGTGGGGAGGTGGGGAGGTCTCGGGGAGGTGGTTTTGAAAATAACCGTTTTTTGGCGCGTTTCGTACCAATTAATGTTCATAATCGATTTATAAATGTTTATTCGTGTTTTCTGAACATTATTAGAGGGTTTTGGTAAAATATTTTTTTATTATTAGGTTAGATTAAGGCAAAAAGGGAAATCCTTGTAAAGAGCTGGGAAATTGAAGAAAATACATCGATTTCACGCTGTTTCTTTACAATATATTGTAAAATTATAATGATGTATTGCATGACAGGTTTTTTAATGTCTAAGGAATAACTTCTAGCCTTTATAAGTTACCTAGTAAGAAAATAACTTATAATCTTCTATTTTGCGTGTTTTCACTCGTTTATCTTCGTCTTCATAATAATTCCTTCTTCCGGTTCCTTTTTCATCCTTCTTATCTCTGATAACTACATTAACTATATTAACTTTACTCTTTGCTATAGCAAAGAGTAAGCGGACGCTATGTGTTAGGTGTGTTACTGGACTGGACGTTTTTAAACTAGCCTCTTGCAACGACCAGTTAAGCCTAAGCCTGGGCTTAGCTTCACGTAAACGAATTGTAAGGCTAGTTGCGCCAAGCTAAGTCTTTTTAACCATTCTTTTTTCTATAAGTCAAAAACAAGTTTGGATGAGCAAAAAAACTATAAATAAAAGTGAGACGAACCAAGGCAACGCATTTTAATCATTGCTTTGATACTAAAATCAGTCCTAAAACTAAAGAATCTTGAAATAATGCGCAACTAATCTATAGTATCAAGCACACGTTAACAATTTTAGATGGATCAAAGGGTTTTAGTTTTTTGGTTATATCTAAAGCTAGAGAGCCTGTAAACCATTGCAAATAAAGAATTCAGAAGAACGAGAGTAAAAGAAGAAAGAATCGAGAAAGCCTGTGGAGCTTTAAATTTAATTAAAGGTAGATAAAGTAGTTTTAATAGTAAGTAAAGCTAATGAATGTAAGAAAACAGATCCACGAAGGGCAAGAAGGAAGAGCGAATCATTAGGAACATAGAAATAAACTATTGAAAACAAATAAAAGATATAATTAATAGCTATTTTCTTACTAGCTAACCTATAGGAAGAAATTATATATCATAGCTATAGAAGTTATGTGCAAGCGCTGTATAGTAGCAAAAACCTTGCCTAAGTAATAATAATTTTAATTTTATAATATATTGTAAAGAAACAGCGTGAAATCGATGTATTTTCTTCAATTTCCCAGCTCTTTACAAGGATTTCGCTTTTTGCCTTAATCTAACCTAATAATAAAAAAATATTTTACCAAAACCCTCTAATAATGTTCAGAAAACACCAATAAACATTTATAAATTGATTATGAACATTAATTGGTACGAAACGCGCCAAAAAACGGTTATTTTCAAAACCACCTCCCCGAGACCTCCCCACCTCCCCACCTTCCCACCTCCCCACCTCCCACCTCCCCACCTCCCCACCTCGAACTTTACTAATTGCCGTGTAGCGCCATCCCAATCCGAGCTTCCTCCGAATCGCTAGCAGGGGTACTTTTTTTTGACCCCAGACTGAAAATTTTCATGAATGCCCTTGCGGTTTGGCCTCCTTATAAAAAACCAGTGGAAAAAGACCGCTTCGCGGCCCTTTTCCACTGGACCCCGTCCACGAATCATGAATTTCAATACTTGCTTCCTTTTCGCCTGCGGCGCAAGTACCTTGGTCAAGGAACCCCTACTTGGCCTGCGGCGCCAGATTCAGCGTTGCGCTAGAATCATTGAGTCTGCAGCGCTAGTTACCGATTTTTCTATGGGGCTTAGCCTACGGCGCTAGAGCGTGGTTCAAGTAACTTGTCTTTGGCCTGCGGCGCGAGAGCCTGGGCCAAGGCCTTTTTCTTTGGCCTGCGGCGCTAGGGCCAAAGCCAGGCCTAAACCTCGCGCTAGGACCTTTTTGCCTGCGGCGCTAGTTACTGGTTTTCCTCCCGGATTTGGCCTGCGGCGCAAGAGCCTAGATCAAGGACCCATCCTTGGCCTGCGGCGCGAGAGAGCCTGGGCAAGGACCTTTTCTTTGGCCTGCGGCGCTAGAGCGAGGGCCAGGCCTAAACCTCGCACACCGAGGGCCTAGAAAAATGTTTTGTTGCTGAACTGCCAAAAAGCAAAACGTTAACTTCCCCCAGGATCAGAACTCACGACTATCGGCGTGGTAGGCCGCACGCAAATCCACTACACCACGGGGCAGATGGGAACTGGAGGCGGGAAAGGCCTCTTGTGGTCCTGTGGAGAGGGCGGGGGGGCAAAGGAATGGGTACCCACTGATCCCGGGAGGGGCCTTTGGTCGCTTAACAAAATTCCATTTTTTAGTCTGAATTCGCTAAAAATTTGTAAAGATAATAAGATGCGCGTGATCCCCACTATCGAATAAATAAGTGCTCCAAATTACAGACCGAAATTCAATCAAGAACTCGAGTTATGGCCCGAACACCACGGCTTGTCGCCCATTTTGTTAAGGATTTTTACTATTTTGCTTGTAAAATTGCGAAATGGAAGAATTTCGCAAAACAAAAAAATGCGTGTCTGGCAAATGCATTTCTCCGCCTCCATGCCAAAAATCAGCTTGAAATTCGGCCAGACGGCCGAGAAATCGGCTGCACAGAAAACAGACATACTTTTCTCGCTTATAGGATAGGATTTTTTTCCGTTTTCCACTTCCTCCAAACTTCTTCCAATCTTGCAAAGTTATTTTGCCGATAAAGAAATTCTTTTGCAGGCGCGATGCTGCTCGATTTTCTGAGCTGCCCGTGGTGCAACCGGAAGTACTGCAGTGCGCCTGACCGTGACCACACGCCGATGTGGCATTCTTACGATAAGATGATCTTGTGCCGAAGCTGCGATGGCCGTAGGGCTCTGCCAAGGCGCATCCACGAGTCTCGTGTAGCCGATTTTGTGCTAAAGTATCTCGATCGAGCCGGCCTACAATGTTGGCATGGATGTGGAAAGGACAAGGAGCACGTCATTGGCTATGTCGTCGAGAAGCCAATGCCCGACCATCAGTGTCACTTTTGCCAATCCCCGCAGGTATGGGAGAATTCCAGTCACTTTTCCTAAATTCACTTTGTCTAAACTTGTTTCGCTGATTACCATTATTATCATTTTCATAGCGGAATTTCCAAAAAGACCAAAATCGACATATTTCGGAAGTAGACATAGTCCTGGAAATTCTTAAATCAAAGACTTGTAAAGTGCCTAGCAAGTTTTTCACAACGAATGTCGAAAATTATGTTCAAAACTTAAGCCACCAGTTATAATAATTGCGAAAAAGTAGACTTTTTGGTCAAAAATGCAGCAACGAAGCCGGTCAAAAATTTAGGCAAAATGACCGTCACCCGGTAGAGCATATACGGATCGTTTTTGCCTACTGAAAGCCAAATGTTCAAGATTTCGTAAACTATCGATAATTAGATAGTTTGCTTTCCCATATTACTTTTTTTTTCAGGAATCGCTTGATACCGTCAACATACTTGTTTGCGGTCACCTGGTCTGCTACGTCTGCCAGGCGGCCAATTCCGAGGCTTTCTACTGCCCGAAATGCAACGTAACGGGTACCGCGCCAGGGACAAACACCAGCGTGGCGCACTTCTACCAGCGACACGAAGAAATCAATCAAGAGCTGAAAAAGGAGTGCTGCGCGGCCGAGAATGAGGTAGATTTTGATGGGATTTAGATTTTTCTCTGCTTTTCGAGGCTTTCTAAAAGTTTTGAAAGGAATTCGTTGGGTGTTTTCTTGCCAAGGCGTATTTGGCTGCAAAAAGTGCTTGGGCGGGCCTTATTTCGACTCGGGCTCCTTTTACCTTAATTATAAGGATCATTTAGGTACCGTTGAAGTTCATCGAGATGCCAAAAGCCGAGTGCGTCCGGTGCCAGAAAGTGGATTCGATCGACGAGTTTTGGCACTGCACCGACTGCTCAGAAACCGTCTGCGCCAACTGTGGCATGAAACTGCACAAGCTTCATAATGCCAACTCGCTGGCCGGACCGGAATTGGCCAAGTGTGTTTAATAAGCAGTGTTTCGCAGATTTACCATATTTGCTTTATGAAACTTTTATGAAACTTCCGCTTTAATACTTCAATACTTCCCTAATAATTTGAGGGCGTTATGAACCAATTTATTTTATATATTTTATATCAGTTTACATAATTTATTTTCAGGTTGACGAAGCAGACGATCGGCAAGCTGGACGGACACTACGAGGGCCTCGGAAAGAACATTGCCGGCCTGCACGAAGAGATGAAAGAGGGCCTCGGCGAGCTGGTCGAATGCCATCGCAACGCACTGACCAAAGTGGCCGAGCAGTCTACCTACGCGGCCGGCGCGCAGATGAACGGCGCAATGTGGGAGATTGCCGAGGAATTCGAGCGAAAATGCGAAGCCCTACTTCCCCACGCCCGCATCTACAACGACCAGCTGCGCGATTTGAAGGAGAAGCTGGAGAACCTCGACAAGAAGGAATAATTTATTGACGGAAATCGCCCATTTATTTACTTTATGTACTGCGTCTTTGTTTTTGCTTTGTTATGATGATCTTGATAAATTCCTGTCTGCAAAGAAAGTGTTTTAATTCGATGGTAGCAGTCTGAAAGGCTTTGGATTTCTAAAAATTTCCCTATGCACGGCTCGCCAAAGGGCACTTTACAGGGTGCGGAAAAAGTTTTCGGCGGCGCACCTTTTATCAAAAAGATTTGTCAAGATGAGCGTTTCGACTACATTTTTTGTGGTGTCATGATAGATTGGGACAATTCTCATCCAATTTCATGAGCCAAAGATTTTTTAATAAGTGCTCAGCTAAAATAACCGAGCTCGGAACACCGATGCGCAGGCGAGTTTCGAAATTGGCCACCATTTGGCCGATATAGAAAGCGCGGTTAAAATTTTCCGTGGCAGACTACCAGGCTTCCGAGTTTACGGATTATAAAGAACAACCCCTTAGCATTATTCCATATCAATATTATTGCTTTGTCAACAGACATGGCTGAATTCTCAGGGTTTTGGCTGCAAGGCGGCAGCGTGCCAAGGCTTTAGAATGTTCAGCACCGTCTAAAAGCTGTTTCCAGCGTTGGTATCAAGCATCGTTTTTCTTTTTTAATTTAAGGGGTGTCGGTTAAGAATATCAGTACGCTAAATCCCATTAGCAAGGCCGTTCTCTTCGGATTTTGTGATTACTGGCAGGAGATTTCCCGTCTCGACCAAAAATTCACCAAAATTAGAAGCGTCATAACTCTTTCGAATTGAAGCAAAATTTCTTGAGGTTTTGTGGGAAGATAGACCACAGGTTTGGCAACATCTCTACAAAATTTTGTGCCTTTTGACCAAGGATAGCTCGCAGGGGGTACTGTAACATCAACGAAACAACAGCGTGCCGGGGGCGTTTCTAAGATGATCTTTTCGGTCGTTCTAATCGGGTAAAATCTTTGAATTTGGGTAATCCAGTCGTGACTTATGATCCATGAGTCTTCACTTTCCAGCCTCGAATCCAAAAAATCTGAATAAACCTCTAGGTTTCGAGTAACAGAGTTATTTGCCCCGCCGAAAACTTTCTCCGCACCCTGTAGTACGGGGCGCGCCTATTGCCCCCCGGGCTCTGTTGGGCGGGGCCGCCCATATTAAAAACTCAGAAAATCTACGTTTTCTTCTAATAACTTTTTGTATACTATTTCGAATCTTCGGGAGGCGTGGGAACTTGGTAGAGAAAAAAATTCTCTATCGAACTGTGTGGGTCGCGACGAGAGTTCGCACCAAAATAAGGAGATTTTGAAGTCTAAAGTTCCCAAATTTTCAAGCCAGCTGGTTTATGGCTAGTTTTTCACCCTGTTGTGATCAAAATACGATCAAATCTCGCTAAAATGTTGGGTGGAGTCACGATACATGCTTTTGAATTAATAACGGAAGTTCTGGAAAAGATAAACCCTTGTCCGATGGCGATCATAATATTTCGATGCTAGCACCTCAGCCGGAAAGATTTGAGCCTTGTATGGCGGTTTTCTAGGTAGCTATATCAATTGCATGTAGTATTAATCAGAAAAACTTCTGAATTATGAGCCTACTATTAACTAAATAGCTAAGATAGTCGGGCACTTGGACGCTTGGAGCAGGAGCTTCGTTGCTGTAGCCCAATTTTGCCAAATAAACGCATCAGAGCGTACTTATTATCGTTACTAAGCCAAAAAAATTGTAATAGCAACCCTGAAACCTGATTATGGAGCGAAATTGCAACTGTTTTTGGATGCACTGCTTTAAAACGCGTTCTGGCCGCTTTTTGCTATTTTCTGGGGCTTTTTCGCGAGTATGATTTAATTTTGTGTTACAGTAGACGAACGGTGATACATTGGAGCAAAAAGCAAAACAAAGATTACCAAAATGGGGGAGTTCGCGCCGGAGAGGAACCGAACCCGGGGGGTGTGGGGGCTCGCCTGGGAGGTTAACCCACTATCCGCGGGGAGAGGGCCCGCACCCCCCAAGAAGTGCGTTTTTGGTAAGGCCTGAAGAGCCGTGTATGTACGGTTCGAGCGACGACTTGTACCATAAATCGAGGACGCTCGCTGGAAGGTTACTTTCTTTATTTTTGAGATGTTTTTTAGGTTGATCATGAGACTCCAGTTGATATTAAAGCCCTTTTGCGCAGAGTGCCGCTTGGTTTCCAAGCTTCCAGGCGGACATTTCAGCCAAATGGAAGCGGCATGCGCCGAGGGAAAGTTTGTATTTTGCAACTTCAATTGCATCAGACTCTTTTCGGCAACACTAAAAGGCTCTTTAGCATTATCGTGGGGGGAACCAACGTATTCTTACGGCTAGAAGGCCTAACGACTTCATGAAAGTGTTTTAATCCTACTATCCTACTATATATAAAAAAATAGTGTTTGTGTGTTTGTGTGTGTGTGTGCCACTTTGCATCCACTTCCGTCTGTCTGTCCGGAGGATATCTCAAGAAGGGACGGGTATTAGGCTACGTATGATACGTCATTAGGTGCGTAATGGTCTAGGGATGACTGTACACATATCAGATTTTTAAAAATTAGCCATTTTCGCTATTAAATTTAAGTTTTTGTAAAAACCTCTTTGTTAGGAATAATTCGCATAGACCGGAAGTGGGCCGTCGCCTATATAAAGAGGCAGAAAGGGTTGTTTTTCATTTTTTTTTTTTGTCTTCTGAAGGGAGGACAATTATGCAAAGGGCAGAATAATATGGGGTCCGAGACGGGGCCGGGGTTGAAAAGTCGCGAAGCGGCTTTTCAACCCTGGTAGTTGTTTAGTAATATAGATCTCTTTCAACTAGAAAAACTTTAAAAGATGTTAAAAAAGCGAAATTTTGGTTAAATATCAGTCATTTTAGTCGAAAATCTATTACGGTTAAGAATAGCAAAAAAACCATTTAGAAACACTTCCACTTATTATTTTGGAGAAATAGATCCTGAGAAAAAACTTGGTCCCCCCTCCCCAATAATTCGAAAGAACCCACTAAAACGATACATCCAATTCTTTTGCATGCGGAAAATGGAAACTCAGGTGACCCAAAGCCGACGGCATTTTAGGATAACGTTTTCGGGTGCGGTGGTAAATGCGGGGCGTGTTCCGCTAAGTCGGCCGGAATGTGGCTGTCTTATCGCAGAAGCCGCTCGTTTTTCGTGGCCCTAAACAAAAGGAATACTGTAACGGTTAATGGCATGCCTAAGCGTTTCTGCTAAAACTAGACTCACAATGCGGAGGACCAGCTATCAAACAATGAAGCGGGGCCCGTCGGGGCAGTAAATCTGGAGTTGCTGCAAGACGCGAGTTTCAAAAAAAGAGCTTTCGAAGGGCGATAAGCTACCTGCATAAATACCGATGATCGAAAAGCCAACTGGGTTCAAAGCCAAAAAGGATGCTGAACTTGGCTTTGTTATTTTTTGCTTTTGGTTTCATCGGCTTGAAGGCGCAATGCCCGTCGGGCTATGATTATCTGACTGCCTCCGGGCGAAAGGAGTGTATCGAGGTCAAATCGGGTAGGCAATATAGGGTATTAGTGGTCGTAATAAGCGTTCGCAGATTGCCCGGACCATTTTCCAGATCACCGTACCTTCGCATCGGCGGAATCGTCATGTCAGGCACCCGGTGGTCATCTTACTTCGATCCATTCGATACTCGAAAATGGTCTCATTGGTGCTTATGCGAAGTCGGGTATGATTTTAAGGAAATTTTCCGGTCCTTCAAGTTTCAGGCATGTGGCTCAGTTTTTTCTTGCTAGCCGGTCCATGTTGGCCTTAAAAACTATAAAAAAGGATTTTTCGACCAAAAAATGCCTTTTTTTGTCCAAAATCCCCCTATCGCTAAGTTATTTTTGATTGTTTTTCCACGGGTGCACGGGTGGTTTCAACTGTCCACGGGTGGTGTGATTCGTTTTTCACGCTGAAAAGCCCCCGCCCCCCATTTTTTTAAGCAGATCAGCGAAGGACGGCCGCTCGGAAAAATATTCACGAACACAATTTGTGTGCTATTAGAAAACGCAGCTGCAGCCTCACCAGCGGACGCGATTGAAGTTGTCAAGCTTTTGTGGCGATGCTCACTAGATCGAGCATTGGAACGTCTATTCCGATGCACCGAGTGCGACCTGGTAAATTATACCTTTGTTACTTATACCTTTGATAATTTTACGTTGGCATTTGAGCGGAGCTAAAGTTATACCAGATATTATGCGGAGTTTGCGCCGTCCGAAAACATCGCACGCACGAGCTGCTCGAGATGCTCGGCCTCCAACTCGGCCAATATAGGGTATTAGTGGTCGTAATAAGCGTTGCAGATTGCCCGGACCATTTTCCAGATCACCGTACCTTCGCATCGGCGGAATCGTCATGTCAGGCACCCGGTGGTCATCTTACTTCGATCCATTCGATACTCGAAAATGGTCTCATTGGTGCTTATGCGAAGTCGGGTATGATTTTAAGGAAATTTTCCGGTCCTTCAAGTTTCAGGCATGTGGCTCAGTTTTTTCTTGCTAGCCGGTCCATGTTGGCCTTAAAAACTATAAAAAAGGATTTTTCGACCAAAAAATGCCTTTTTTTTTTGTCCAAAATCCCCCTATCACTAAGTTATTTTTGATTGTTTTTCCACCTAAATATAGTTAATTTTACTAACAACACTGTTATAACATCTACTATTACATTACTGAACTGCTAGAAAAAATTGCCATCCCCCTCCCCGATAAGGCGAAAGAACCAAAATTGGAAACACGTTTCATAAAGTCTGAATTTTGCTGATTTCCGGCCGAAGAAGCCGTTTTACCACTAAAAATTTTTCCATTTGTTCAAGAACAAGAATGTTCAAAAACAATGTATGTAGCATCCGCTATTCATCTCAAAAGAATCGAGACCTGCGCGAAAAAGGTGGTCTAATTAAAACTTTTTATTTTTTTCTAGCTTTTTCTAACTTTACATTTTTTTCTAAATCTAATTTTCACCTAATGTTTATAATTTAATGAC